TCATCTGGATGAAAAGGATAGCACTGATCTCGGAAGATCTGAGTGATAAGATGGCCAAATGGGAGGAAATTGGCCCGCCTGGGCTTGGCCTTGCCAATGTAAGTCGAATACAATCTCATCATGACACTCCAATAGAGTGCCGGCATAGATACCCAGTGGCCTGTATAGAATGCATATAAAGCAATCAAAAAGTCTAAACACCTCTAGATCTTATGGCCCGTCATAAATACATTTCGAAATAGTACTGAATTGTAAAACCAAAGGTCATCGGGCAAATAAGTCCAGGTGGCGAAAGTCTCGCCATCTGCATAGTGGCCAGTCAGTGCCACGGCTATGTCTGCCTAAGAAGGCCTCCACTCCAAGATAGGATAATGAACATCAGGAGGGCAAACATGTGGGCATCTAGAAGATCTGGCAAGAATATCAACTATGATCTAGATAGGGTGGCCATCAATGGTAGTGTGCAGCTCTGATAAGTTACTCGGGCCGACCGGAGGTTCTGGTAGAACAACCGAACAAGCCGCAGGTAACTGGATATGTAACTGGGGCTAAAATAGCTGAAATGCCCCTCCGGTCAATATCATCATAAGCTGACCGGGTCAGGAGATACCAAGAGAAGAAAACAATATCAAATACTGGCTCATGTGCCACCTGAAGGCATGAGTATCTCCTGATAGGTCTGTCGCGGACTTGGCCTGGCTGTGCCAGTGGTGGTGAAGGAGAAAGTACATGCTCAATCTCAGCTGAAGAAGATGATGTAGAAGCTGAAGACTTTAGTCTAGAGTCCGCTTAAGGGGACTGAGCTAAATCTGCCTCTAACTGCTCTAACTGCTCAGCCTCTTCAACTTACTCTAGAGCTAGCTCTAGAATGGGGTCCTGAACATGAGATGGTCCTGCCTACTCCTCTACTCTCTGCCTCACTCCGCATGGATAATGCCTACGGGCAACAGTCTTTACCCTAGCCATGGCCCGCAAAATAGAAAGAAAAACACTTGCAATATAAGTTAGTACCTGTATAAAGAATTGAAGCACAGTATATAGAAACATATATGTCAAACAAGTTAGACAACTCAAAATAATAATCATGAATCTATGCAAGTGATGACGCAGCCAAATAAATAGTGACAAAGTGAAACATGCTAAACAATATAAGAATATAATGCATTCAATGTGGAAAACATAGGCATTGGGCATAAATAAGATAGCGTGGAACACAAATGATGGTGTGTCAAGTGTATAGGCAAATCTGTGACATTAGATCGATCAGGAAAAAATGAGATCGATCCAAGTTCGATCGATCTGGACTTAAGTGAGATCGATCTTTATCAGATCGATCTGAGAAAAAAAAAGATCGATCAAACTCTACAAAAAAATGCAAACAGTCACAGATTTGTGACGTGGATGGCACGGGGGCACCTGAGCAAGCTCATGGGTCCCATAATTCCTCAACAACACACAAATGGTCACTTGTTTGGGCATGTGACCCTCAAAATCAATTTGGAAATTTAATATATACAAAAATCTATACATATATAGATACACTTATATACATATGCTTAAAGCTTCAAATATGGAAAGAAACCAAGCGTGGCATCTCAGATCTAAGATGGAAACCTCAAAATCATGTAGATTAAAACTCAAAAATGAAAAATCAAACTCGAAACTTACCTATCCAAGGCGAGAAGTGAATCAAAGGAGAGAGAGATGAGATCTGAGGTGAAGGAGAGATATTCGAGGCTCGGGAAGCTCGTTGGAGACATGCCAGAGGTTGGGAAGATAAGGTTTGCAGCGGCGAGAGAGATGAGGGTTTAAGATTGATGTACAAATCGATTAAAATGACCCTAGGGTTTTATTTTAAAAACTGGTCCCGACAAGTTCGATCGATCTTGAAAAAACACAAATCGATCTATGCTTCAAATGACAAAGTATTTTTGAAAAATTTTGAAAAAATTTTCAAAACTGAAAATATTTTATGGATTTTTAGAAAAATTTTAAATAAAATGGAATTAAAAAGAAAATATTTATTTATTTTTTTTTTTGGATAATAAAATTAATAAAAATCTTTTGGAATTTTTGAAAATATTTTTAAGATAAAAATAAAATTAAAAACAAAAATAAAAATAATAAAATAAAATAAAAATAAGATAAAATGAAAATATTTTTAGATTTTTGAAAAATTTCCTAAAATTAAAAATATTTTTGAAATTTTTGAGAATAAAATTAAATAAATTAAAATTCAAAATATTTTTGGATTTTTACTAAATTAAAGTTCAAAATTCAAAAGAGTAGTCAAATCAAATTCAACAAAGGGGGTACAGATCGATCAATCTAAGATCAATCTAGAAGAATCTTCGATTGATCGAATAGGTAAAAACCTACAGACAAGTTCGAACGATGTATAGAGAGGCCTTTTTCATGAATCTCAAAAAAAATTCTAAATGTGGAGTGAAGATCGATCTAAGAAAAAGTTGGATCGATCTAAGAACTTTCAGATTGATCCAAGAAAATTTTCGATCGATACACAGAGAGCTGATTTATGTAGGAAAATTTCGATCGATGAAATAGAGAAATGATTGGATGCAGTAAGGGATGTTCGATCGATCGAACCTCTTTTTGAGATTGATTGAACAGGAACAAAATGCCTAGTTTCAGAATGAAAGTGCATGCATACTCAATCATAGTTCCTATCAATGTGTATAAACCCCAAAACATATCTAAACGACGCAAGAAATGAAAGGTAAAATGGAAATGAGGGAGGAATAGGGTTGTAAACCCTACGAAGCATTTACTAGTCTTTAACGTCTCTAGTAAGACGTTGGGCTCTTTTAGCCCGGATCAAATATCTTGTTATGCAACCCATCCTTAACGGGGTGAATGGGTTTTTGAACCCCACCCAATAAATTGCGCCCTAAGGAACTCATTGGATTTGATTCAAACAACATTGATGGACCTTGGTTAAAACAACTCTTGGGTATCCATGCCCTTGGAACACTTGACTTCAATGCAACTTTCTATGCTTTCAAGTTGGTAGACAAACTATGGAGATGTTCAATACCAAGTAAAGACTTAACTTCATCAAATTCATGGTTTACACACTCCTCTACAACACACACTTCTTCATGTTGGCCCATTGAATTTGGGGTTGGGTTAAAAATGTTCAACTTCACTTTCATATGGCCAAATGAGATTTTCATTATCCCCATCCTATAATTAATGCTGGCATTTCAAGTTGCCAAGAATGGACGGCCAAGGATAACGGGAATTTGGCTCTTGCGATTTAGAACCGGTTTCATGTCAATGACAACGAAATCAACTAGGAAGAAGAACTTATCGATTTTAATCAAAACATCCTTAATGATACCCCGAGGCTTTTTGATTGATCAATTGGCAAGTTGTAAAACTACCGACGTCGGTTTCAAGTCTCCTAAGCCCAATTTGACATATACCGAGTATGGAAAAAGATTGACACTTGCTCCTAAGTCTAAAAGAGCCCGATTGATGACATGGTCACCAATGATGCAAGAAGTAGTAGGTGAACTGGGGTCTTTGAACTTTGGGTGAGTGTTATGTTGCAAAATGACCTCACTTGCTCGGTCAAGACCACTTTTCTTGGTGCTTGGCTTTTATTCTTCCTCTTTTGGGTGCAAAGATCTATTAAGAACTTGGCATAAGCTGGAATTTGCTTAATTGCATCCAAAAGCAGAAGATTAATCTTCACTTGCCTAAACATTTCAATGATTTCATTGGTCTTGGTCTTTTGTTTATCAAGATAAATAGATCCTTTCAAGGCATCCGGAAATGAAGCTCATGGATCAAAAGCTTTTTCAAAATCTTTCTTTGAAACATCATCAACATAAGAATTTTTCAAGTCCTTTTTCAAATCATGTTTTAATTCATCTTTTAAATAATTTTTCAATGCTTTCTCAACATAATGATCATGCACATGCAATGAAGGAGGAATAAAATATGAAATGGGAAGGGTGTCAACTTTTGGTTGCACCGGTTCACTCTCTTCATTGGACATACCTACTTGGTTGTCCACAATATTCCCCCTTCTCAAGGTTGTCACTGCATTGACATGCTCAATTGTGGGACCTCCTGATGAGGAATGAGTCTCCACAACACATTGTTTCTTTGGTGGGGCATTTAAAGGCATTTTCCCTTTTTCTCTAACATTTAAAGTACTAGCTATTTGCCCTACTTGGGTTTCTGACTTAGCAATGGATTGAGAGTGAGAATGAAGCAATTGAGTGTTGGCGTCTAGAGTGCCTAAAGCGGTCAAAACTTTCTCTTCAAAAGCGGGACTTCTAGAATTTCCTTGAGAATATGATTGATTTGGAAAATAAGAATTAGAGAATTGGTTTCCATGTGATTGATATATTGACGATCTAAAACCTTGGGAACCTTGGCTTTGCATTGGAGGTGGAACTTACTTCCCTTGAAAACCACCTTGGGGAGGGTTTGAACCTTCCCCTTGGCTTTTCCAAAAGAAATTTGGATGGTTCCTCCAACCTAGATTATAATGATTGCCATAGGGATTATTCCCTTGATTAGCAAAAATGGCATTGGCTTGCTCATGGTTGTCATTTTGCATATGTCCATGGGGACAATTGGAAGTAGAATGCTAGACACTTGAACAAGTCATACATGATTCATTAGATGCACGATGATGAACATGATTAGGGGAGGAAGACATTTGATTTGCCGAAGTTTGGTTGATTAAAAATTGATCAAACCTTTGAGGTAAGGATTTCATCTCGGCGGCTATATCATTGGAGCTGTCAACTTGATACAAGCCAACATTCTTCCTTCCACTTAGATTTCTACCATTTTTAGAAGACAGATATCTATGCATGGAATTTTCACTCATACTTTCATATAATTGCCACACATCATTTTCGTGCTTATCAAGATAAGAACCACCCACAGATGCATCAACCATACTCTTGTGATTATCCGGTAAACTTTCAAAGAAATATTAAACTAATTGCCACTTAGGTATGTCATGATGTGGGCACTTCCTAAGCAAGTCATTGAATCTTTCCCATGCCTCATAAAACATTTCCCCATCCCCTTGAGAAAATTCAAGAAATGGAAGTTCTCATAGCATTGGTCTTCGAAACCGGGTAGTACTTCTTCAAGAACTCTTATTGCATTTCTGCCCAAGAAGTTATCGAAAAAGGCCTAAGATTGTTAAACCAATATTTTGCCTTGTCTTTGAGAGTAAAAGGAAAAAGTTTGAGTCTTAATACTTCTTCTGGCATGTCCGTGTATTTCACGGTGGAACACAATTCAAGTAACTCATCTATAGGGTTCTTCACTTGGAAGTCCATGATAGTTGGGAAGCATTTGAATGGTTTGTGGTTTGATTTCATAGTGATGTGCTCTAAATGGAGGCAATTGAATGCAAGTGGGTGCATTATATTCATTAGGCACATAATGGTCTCTTAAAGCAAGAGGGGGATTTATAACCGGTGGTGCTACTCGAACACCGTGGTTAGCTTGAACCATAGGAGGTTGTGGAGCAAAGATTGGTTGAGGCATTCCCAATGGAATTTGGCCTTGTTGTTGTGGTAGAATGAATAGTCTAGGCATGCCTAATGGTACTTGGATGTTTTCATGATGCACATTAGGGTGGAGGATGCCTTGTTGGTCTATGTAACCAAGGTCCTCCACATGGTCATTGTTTTGCTCCTCCATTGATGAAATGGAGTGATGAAAACTACCTCTTCCCCTAGGATTACGAATAACCGATTCAAGATGAAAATTAAGAGGGACAAGAGTAGGATTTAATGACCTATGACCATGCATGCACTAGCAAAGATAAATAACAAGAAGTAAGCAAGTAACAAACACTTCGTCCCCACAACAAATCAACAAATCTTCACATACAATGATCCCATACTCCCATACTTTAATAATATGCAAAGAAAAGTAAATTGCCTCCACGCAGGCTTACGATTAATCTAAGAAATGAAAAACAAGCCTCCACGCGGGCTGAAGATTTAACTAGAGATTGAGTTAGAAAGATCTCACAAGGGGTCCTTAAGCAACTTCAATATATTTTCAATTTTTCGCTTAGCTTTGCAATTTTTAGATTTTTAGTCCTTTTACCTTGCTTAGCTCCTTACTTGAATTCTCCTTTGCTTAACTTCCTTCACTCAATGCACCTAGTCAATCAAGAACAAACACAATATGTAACTAAAAAGAAAATAAAGAAAAGACACGATCAAAAGAGTACTAATTCCGATTTGTTTCCAAAACACGGCGCTGCCAATTAAATCCCCGACAACGGCGCCAAAAACTTGGTGAGCCCCTTCCTAAGTGTTTAGAAAATGGACTTTTTAATGCGAGAGGTTGCTTCGCAAGGTCAAAATATGAATGTGGTTTCGGAAGCATAGCGAGTAGGGATCGTCCATAGAGATTATACGTGTTGGAATTTAACTTCGATCCTAGCGTATCAAAATATTGTAAAGAAGGGTTGGCTGTTTGATTACTCTAGAAAACAATTAAATTAAAATGCAATTAAAGTAATTATGTGAGAGATTGGGATTTAAGAGATATGAAGAGAGGACTTAGGGTGTTGGAATCACCACTAAGCTCATGTAATTAACCACTTACTTTCCATTAATAGGGAATACATTGTTGTGAATAAAATGCGACTACCAATTGCAATATTAAGCATGGACCATCAAATTCATGTATGAATTGTCTACCTAACCAATAAATAAACTAAGTGTAGAACAATCCATCAAACTAGTCACAATTGTAGCACACATCAATTTAGAGAATCAAGGAATTTGCAATAATAAGCCATGGAATATCAAATCAAGTATAGATTGTCTACCTACCTACAAGCATGAATTAAATTATAGAACAACCTATCAAGTATAAGTATAATCCGTCAAATTAATTGACAAACCCATTCAATGAAAACACATGCCTAGCCATCACTAGATTCTCAATTAACCATACATAAACATGCAATTAATATAGAAAAACTAGTGTAGAGATCAATTCCTAAATAATCACACATAAGACAACATATAATCACAAAGAGAATCAATAAGAAGAATTAAACCATAAGAATCATATGAGACATAATTCCTAATTTAATCACACATATACATGTAAATAAACTAGAGAATTAATAGGAAGAATTAAACCATAGAAATCATAGATATATACCAAGATTCATTAAATTCATAAGGCTAGAACACTAATCACAACAATATATATATAAATCCCAAAAAATAGAAATACAAGGGTTTAGATTACACAAGACTTAGGGCATATCCAAGCCCTAAGTGTAGATCTATCCAATCATGGAGAAGGTGGATGTGGTCATGAAACCCTCAAGGGCAAACTCCAAACATGGCTCCATCTTCTTCTTCTTCTTCTTTGAAGCTCTAGAGAGAGTATGTGTGTAGATCTAGAGATGGGTTCTTGAGATGTGCCTCCACTTCCCTCTTCTCTTCTAACCCTAATCTTTAACTTTCTAAAGAGAGAAAGCTATAACAATATAGAAATTACAAAGTAAAACTATGAATCTCTCTACAAAAATGGTTGAATCCCTCTTATATACAAGGTTCTGAGAGCCTAAATATGTGAAAACTCGGCCCTAGGATCTTCCCTTTCAAGCTATACTAGAGTTGGTTTAAAATCAGATTCAGATCTGCTTTATAATAACTTTCGCAAACAGTTCGATCGATCAGAGATAAGTTCGATCGATCAGAGTTCGATCGATCTCACTTGGCAGCTTTTCAGCATCAGCCTCCTTTTACTCCAAATCAGCCTCCTTTTGCTCCAAATTCTTACTAAGACTTAGTTTGACTCCAAAAAGGCCTTAAGAAACCATTTTTAGCTCATTTTAACATTATTGACCTAAAATAGACAAAAACATGAAATTAGTCTAAAATGGGAAAATAAGATAGATAAAGATCCTAGAACACTCAAGCTTAAGGGGTTATAAATGTGCACTTTTCTGCGCTCATCAGGTACCTTCCCCTAGTGCGCACTATAGTGTAAGGAGCTCTCTATCTCCCATTCTAGAACCAAGTTCTAGCCAAGTCAAGTTCTTGATGATATCCCAAGTTTCCAAAATCGACAAGTTGAGCAACAAGTCATGATATATGATAAAAACACAATAAAAGCTCCATGAATTACATGACTAAATCATTAGATCAATAAAATAGAAATTAATTAGACTAACTAATTAATTTCTCTAGTTTTCAAAAGTTGTTCAAATGATTCCAATTTAATATATAACAAGGAGTAAGTAATGACCATGCCATATATCAAGTCTAAAATGGAATTCAAGCATATTACAATTAAGTAGAATTTAAATCAATTTAAATTAATTAATTTTCTAAATTTAAAAACTCATTTAAATCATACCAAATTAATATACAACAAAGATCAAGTCATGGATATGCCATATATCAAGTGTAAAATGAGTTATATGCAAGCTACCATTAATCATTAGCTTCTCAATTTAATATAAATCATGCTTACAACTTATACATCACTACAAAAACAATTATTTCACTTAGATAATAAACTCAATAGAGAATTGAATCTCTATAATCTAAGGCAACCAAGCTTAAAATGGAAAACTAAACAAGGGTTTTGTAGAGGAAAGTGAGAGGGAACTAAAGTATTCTAAGCTTAATGATCTAAGGTGAGTGGAAGGAGACCAAAAATGAAGTCAAAAGCCTTGAATCAAGCTTTGCTCCAATGGTGGCTAAGTTAGGGCTTGAGAGGAAAGAGATGAAATGAAAGAAAAGTGTAAACCCTAAGCTAAATGTGATGGTATCATCCACTTACTATATTCTCTTACACTACCACTCTCACACACACACACACAATGCAAGACTAATTGTGAAGCCTACACTTGTCATTAATCTTAGGCTCCTTCCTAGGCTTAATCTTACACCTACACTTATCAACTATCCTATAACGACCCGGCCATTTACCTCCCTTTCTTTTTTCCTGAAATTTTACGGATAAATTTTTTTCCATTTAATTTTCTTTACTGAGCTCTGTTTCTTGTCATTTAGTGTCGTCTTGAGTGCTCAAAAATAGTTTCTGAGACTCTTTTCCGTGGATTGGCAACTTTCTTTGAGGACCAAGTCATTTCTGCATTTTCACTTTTCGGACACTATGCTCATTTCGTCCTTTCCCTGTTTCGTCTTTTTCCCTGTTCTGTCTTTTCTCTGTTTGTTACTTGTTTGGCAAAACCTTAATTTTCATGCTCGGAGTTAGTTTTTGACTTCATATGTCTTCCTCTTTAGTGGTTTCCTCGAAATACGTATCTTTACTTTTGCAAGAAAGTACTCTGGTTGCTCTCGGTGTCCATAAGGGCATGGATGCACAATTCTTTGGAATCTTTTTCTTTTCTTGGAGTGTTTTTCATAAATGTCTTTTGAAGATATTTTATTTCAGGGGCATCTAAGAAAATATCTTTTGGAATATATTTTCATTCTGGGGCAGTTTCGCAGTTAACCTTTTTTGTAGGGCCATTGTGCAATTAACGAAAGTTATTGCAAAATGTCTCGTCTGGAGCCTGGATCCTCGTATGGAATTCATTTTCACATTTCATCGAGTCGTGGACTCTTAGAATTTCCTTCTGGTCATTTTTCTCCAGTTTCAGAATTTCTAGACCCAGTTGTCGCCGAACTTGTTCGGGGTATATCTTTCTGCTTGGGACTCATTTTTTGATTCCATTTCTTCCATTATTCATATTTTCTCATTTTGAATCTTTTTTGTTCACGGAGTTTTGCCGTTTGAGCGCGTTTGCTCAAAATTCACTTTTCCGGACCCGGTGGGGCCCTTTCGGGGCACTTTTTGAGACTTACTATAAATATGGGACTTAGGAACAAAAAAATCATTTTTCTTCATCTTCTCCACTCTCTTGGCCTGCAGCCATGGGAGCTCCTTGGCTGCCACCCTTTCTCTTTCTCCTCCACTTGATTTCCTTGGTAGAAATCCTTCGGCCTTTACATTTATTGTTCCCCTCGACGTGTTCTATCATTCCCTCTTATTAGAATTCATTTCTGACCATTTATTGAGTTTGGGTTTGAGGTCAAGCTGTGATTTTCATGGGGCTTC